CTATAGAACTTAATCATGTGTGTGTGAGATTCCTGCCTTCAGAGAGTAGAGGGAGGTCTCCCTGAAGTCCTAGCTGGCACTGGTGATGAATCCAGTGTGGCAGGCTGGATTCTCACCCATCTCCTTTCCTGCCTTCCTCCCAGGGTTCCCAGGTTGATATTCTCAAATGCTGAAAAGGCAGCAGAACATGGCAGTCCACATGTCTTCTTTCATAAGCCAGACTGACCTCCCCTCACCATAGACAGGTGTCGTGCTTCTTACAGTCACTATGCAATATTTATGAAATTAAGGAAGGCTGGGTAACATTCAGGGCAGTCAGATTCAATAAATGCATGCACTCTGTCTTCTTGGATGTAAACCACCCTCTCTGGTCTTTGTGTCCCCTCTGTCCCCAGTTGTCAACATAACTGGGGACAGAGGTTCTTTATATAAATTTTAAGCAGCAGGAGATGAGATTTGCCGCAATTGTGTTTTTTTGTTTTGTTTTGTTTTTATGGAGAGTTTAGTGTGCTCAGTTATCAATTGTTTGTTTTTGTCTAGTATTTCCTGTCTTTTTTTGGTTTCAGATTATAGAACTAGAAGCTTTTCAAATTTTTTTGTTTGTTTGGATTCAATTACCCCTAGTATAAATTGAAGCTAAATATATTTGATCATCTCCGGGACATAAACTTCCTCTTAAGCCCCTCCCTTCTTGCCATTTTAAATGCCTCAGTGTCGCCCTGGCCTTTAACACACTCTTTTCTTTTAAGACTTTTTGAGATAGAATTCACTGATCAGATAGTTGATTCATTTAAAATGTGCAATTCAGGGATTTAAAAAGTCCCCACATATGTGAAACCATTATCATAGTCAGTTTTGGAACATGTTCATCCTCTCACAGAGAACCCCCCTGATTCTCTAGCTGTCTACCCTCCTATATGGACCCCTATCTCATCCATCAGTCCATCGTTAATATACTTTCTAGAGATTTCCCAATTCTGGACATTTCATTTCATATGAATGAAATCATATGACAGGTGGTCTTTGGTGATTGGCTTCTTTCATTTGGCATGATGTTGTTATATTGTAGCATATTTCTGTAACATGAAGGTGCTGTGTGGGGGTGGCCTTTGTATTCTTGGGTTCCTTATGCATGAACTCAACCAACTGTGGATTGAAAATAATTTGGACAAAAAAAAACTGTATCTGTACTGAATGTGTATGGATTTTTTCCTTGTCCTTATTCTCTAGCATTTTAGCATATGATTTAAAGTATAGGGGAGCTTGTAGGTTATATGAAAATACTATGCCATTTTATATAAGGGACTTGAGCATCTGAGACTTTGGGTATTCACAGGGGGTCCTGGTCCCTTTCCCACTCACAGATGCCAGTAGACAACCATATACCATAGGATGGGTGTGTACCATATTTGCTTTATCCATTCATCAGTTGATTGACATTCTCTTGTTTCTTGTGACTTTCCCAGTCTCCCTTCTGACAACCTTTTACACTCTCCTGTTCTTTTTCTTTCTTCCATTCCAAAGTTCATCCTGTGTCTGATTTTTTCCCATTGTAACAATTATTATTTTGAAATGTCTCCAAAGATACAAAGTATTGGAATTTTTCCTTTTTATCTATGTGACTATTTCCTTCTATTAGTGCAGTCTGATTTTTTTTCTATCCCTTTTTTTAAGCTACCTCTTCCTGCCACCACCCATAGCAGCACCCCCAACTCAGTAATGACTTAGCACTAGCATGTCTTTCCTGCTTTTCTGCATGACATTATCTAGATGTGTATATTCATGTGCACATCCAAAGATGGATGGGGCAGGTGTTGTGGCGAAGGGCCATTGCTGCTTTTATGAAATGAGCTTAGCTTCTTTTTCTCAGTAAAACCTTATGTAAGGGCCCAAAGTCAACTAACATGTCTTTCATTTGGATTTACTTCTTAATAGCTGCTATTTTTCCTGGTGTGCATAGTTTTGAAGTGGACTCTGCTGTCCCTCTGATGATGGTCTTGTTCCCAGTGTTGTATATGTGGACACGGGGATTCCTTCTGCAGCACAGGTCTGACCTTGTCTGTGGCCAGTGGCTCTTGAACACAGCACCATCCATTTTGAGCACACCTTCAGCCCAGGTCCCTCCCAGACTGAAGACTGAGCTGGGCATGTTCTTTCTCTGCTTCACAGCATTTGTTCCTGCTCTTTCTGAGTGGAGCCCCCTTCCTCCAAGCTCTGGTTCCAGTCCACACGCTGCCATTAGCCTTTCAGTAGACTTTTCTCTCCTTTGTTCCCAAGGAACTTAATTTGTGTTAAAGATACAAATTATCTTTAATGTGGTATAATACTGGGCTTCCTGCCATGTGAGTGGTGGTGTTTTCATACGGGGCACCCCCCTAAACTTCAGGGTCCTGGAAAACAAAATCCAGCCTCCTACCCTTTTGTGTATCTTCCCTAGGAACCTGGAAACCTTGCACACAGTAGGTGTTTAATAACTATTCACTAACCAGATCCAGCTGGGACTCCTGTGACCATAATTGCCTGGGGGGTAGAGCTGTTCCTTCCAAAATCCAACCTATTTGTCACCATCCAAAGGTCACTGTTAGCACACCGCAGGCAGTCTTTGTTGGGGCAAACTCCCGCTCTGGAAAACTAGTTACCAGTCCAGACTGGAGTGCATTAGCAAAGTTTTGAAAAGCTAAAAGCCTTTAAGTTGCTTCTTGTCCAGCCTCCAGCTGTGACATCTTTGAAAGTTAAATTCACCAGAAAAGGAAGTGGCCCCGCAAAAAGAGAAGCACCAATGGAAAGCCAGGCTTGCCCGTCTCGTGATTGCGGGGTGGGTTGCTCAGGGCGACAGTCAGCCTGTAGATCCCCCATCCCCTGGTTAAATTGCTGGGAAGGGGCCAAAGGACAATGGTGATGGGAGTCTGACAATAGCAGCCGCTCCCAGCGACTGTCTCCCTCCCCTCCATGAGCTGTATCAAATCCTACAGCCACACCACACTAATTAGCCCGAGAGTGGAAAGGGGTTGTCATGGCGACCGGGCACTTTTTAAAGCGCAGGAATGGTGTTCATTATTGTTCCGTGTCTTTCGCTGTGGGGAAAAGGTCAGTGTGGCAGTTGTTTTCCATATGAATTTTGGCCTGAGAGCCCAACCGAAGGTGGAATGTCCCTGGGAGAGCCTGGAAGATGGTAAGTGCACACAGCAAACTTCCTGGAGGGGGAGGCCCTTCCAATAATACCTTTCAGGCTGTTTTAATAGCTCGAGCGCTAACTAAGGAATTGTGCGGACTTTTTCAACTAGAGGCTGGAGGAGAAAGTAATTAAAGAAATTTTTTGCATCAGTTGCAGCCAGAGCTACAGATTTTTGGAAGCTGGAGATTTTGAATTAAACTCTGAGGCTCAGATGATTAGCTCCTAAATGTGGGTTTCTCTGATATGACGAACTTAACAAAAGTTGCATAATTCAGATGCTTTATTCAGTGTTCGTTTGGTATCTCTTCACTATCCTTTGTAGATTGTTACTGGTTCAGATTATATCCCCAAGTTAAATAGAACAGAAGCAGCAGAACCAAATAACTTAAAAACAAGTTACTTAACCTCTACCCTCATTTTTAAAACCTGAGACCCTGGCCTAAGGTCTGCCAGGAGTCATTTTGTTTCCATATTTTATGCTTCTCTTACTTTTCTAAGGATAGTTCAATCTAGACTAAAAATCAGAGAGCCCCAATTCTTAATCAGATAGCTCCAGCTCTTTGACTGTTTGCCCTGATTTCTTGGCTGCATTGGTCAGAATACTGCTAAGTAAAGACGACTTGGCCAGTGTTTGTATAAGAAATTTTTGAGAGGAGTCAGCCTGCTAGAAGACAGCAGCTATTCCATCAAAAACTGTCAGAGGGTGTGCAGAGCATTCTTTAAGTTTTTTTGTTAGTTTTGGAAGTGTGCAGGATATCATGGCTTTAAGCCTCATTTTGTGTTAGTGACTGACCGCATTTGCTAAAGACCACAGATTAAGCTCCTTGCATTTTTTGTACCTTTTAGCAATAGCATCCTTTGGTTCTGTTTTACAGTCCCTTTATTCAAGGTCGTGCGGAATAACAAAATAAAAGTTAATTAAAGGGGATGGGGTGGTTGAATTAAAAAATGAATTGCTGTTCAAAAAGCTGTAAATGAGGAATGACCCACTTTTTTCTCTTTATCCTAAAAGAAACTATTGTCCTGGAAGCAATGCCAATTTGTTTGGCAGCTGAGCAGAGAAGAGAGCACATTTCAGATGCTTAGTCTTGATTTGATTTCCTGTCTTTAATTTGTATGTTCTTGGGCTCACTGTGTCTAGTATGGGACTCACAATAAATGCGATATTTGACTAGAAACTGAGGAAATTTAAATTCTTTTTGTCTCTTTTATGCACTGGCCAGCATTACTGGTCCCCTTTTCCCCATCCCTCCATGTGCGCGCGTGCGCGCATGCGTGTGTGTGTGTGTGTGTGTGTGTGTGTGTATGTTTCCCCCTCACTTTCACTATATTCTGTAACTTTAAAATGCTCTTAAATTGAAGTTCAAAAAGTAAAACAAAGGGATATTTATGATACATTAGATTCTTTGGAAATGGATAGATTTTAAAATGGTGGTACATTCATGATACTTGTGAGATAGGTATTTGAACATGGATATTTATGTTAAGAAATTATTGGTAAGTTTTAAGATATAATGGTGTTATTAAAATATGATATATACTAAAATATTTACAAATGAGATGGTATGAAGTTTGGAACTCTCTTGAAAACAGAGGGAGAGGATGAAAGCAGGCTCCTGAAGGGGGAGGGCTAGCTGGCATGGTCGTTGAGGAGAGGTGGTACATCCACTGGGGTTCATTTTCTAGCCTGTGTTTTTGTGTATTTTGTTCAAAATTCTACAGTTATGTGTGCACACTCGTGAAAGGCAGAGGTGAGGATGGCCATATCAGCACCGTCTTATCTGACTGTGTCATCTTGCTGCATCTCGCCTTTCTTGTGCTTTAGATGCCAGACCAGTTTGACCAGGCAGTTGTGCTAAACCAGCTGCGGTACTCCGGGATGCTGGAGACGGTGCGGATTCGCAAAGCCGGGTATGCGGTCCGAAGACCCTTTCAGGATTTTTACAAAAGGCAAGAGAGAGCTCAATGGATAGTCCTCTTTTCTTTTCAAAGGGGTGGGAGAAAACAAGTAACCCTAGCTCAAGGTGACAGTGCCCATCTCTGCATTGCAGGTATAAAGTGCTCATGAGGAACCTGGCTCTGCCGGAGGATGTCCGGGGCAAGTGCACAGCACTACTGCAGCTCTACGACGCCTCCAACAGCGAGTGGCAGCTGGGGAAGACCAAGGTACAGTGGCAGAGGACAATCAAACACCAGAGACATGTAGGGTGATGCCCGTGAGGCGTAGTGTTCCAAGATACTGCTCACCATTAGCTTTTTAGTATTTGGAAAAAGCTCATGTTGCCATATCCACTGCCATCTTTTGTCTTCCAAACACTGGAAGTTTTATGTGAAGTCCTTGACTCCTCAAGGACAGTGTTTCCTCAGGAGACACACTGAAACATCTCGTCCCAACTTTTCTCCTGTATGTTCAAGCAGAAGACACATGTTGGCTGGTGAGTGTCTCAGGGTCACAAATGGACGAGGCAGCTCCCAAATTTCCAGAAATGAACCCCCCCACCCCCCCACCCCCCCGCCCCAACCATTCTAACTTTCTGTAACTGAATGTTGGATGGTGTTGCTGCTACCGCAGCAGCTGCTGTGCAAGAGCCAGCAGGCAGTTTGGAATTCTGCAGGTTGCCAAAAGCTCCGTCCAGACAGTGAGAAGTAAAATCTGCTTTGGAACATGTTGCAGTGGCAGAGGCCTTAAGCCGCTTATGCTGGACAGAGATAAGTAGGAAGCAGTCTAGCCTGAACACCAAAAATCAGCCATGAAATCAATTGAACGACCTCTTCTCCTATGTCAGGGAATTGCCAAAACCTCACTTGTTCCCCACTCCCCTCCAGGGCCTTATCACATGGGAAAGACACAAATATGACTCCGCACACAGAAATGCAGGCAGTGGAGGTTATCTCTCCAAAGAGCTCGTCCTCCCGCCTGATCCTCCCACCCCTACACATGCAATGCAATGTGACCTGGGGCCTCTCACAGGCCAGGCAAGCACCCCATCTGCAGCTGCACCTCGACCCTCAGAATTGCATTTGTAATGTCGATATTTTTATGCACATATAAGTTTTTAAAGCCAAGATCTCTGATTATAATCATTTAACAGGTGTGAACAGAGAGTTTCCCCACAGCTGCACAGTGGTGCAAACCTGTAATCCCAGGGACTTTAGAGGCTGAAACAGGATGATCACAAGTTTGAGGCCAGTCTGGGCAATTTAGCAAGGACCTGTCTGAAAATAAAAAAACAAAAAGAGCTGGGAATATAGCCAAATGGTAAAGCAGCCCTTCAAGGACCTGGGCTTGATACATTGTTATACAAATAGAGTGGAGGGATTTCCTCCTCATAGCAGAATAACCTTTATCCGACTTTCCTGAATCATCCTTTCTTGTCTTCCCGAGATTGAAGGGACTGGTGCTGGACCATGAACTACGTGTCCTGGCCCACAGTGAGATAAACCTTTAGAAACTCCAATAGCAATTTTATAGTAATTTTATGCCTATTGAATCTAGTATAATAACAAAAATAATGAGACTTGCATCTTTTATATACACATATACATATATATTTTCTTATTATTTTTGCAAAACTGGCAATTGATTGAACTGAGGTTGCTCTACCACTGAGCTACATCTCCAACCCTTTTAAGTTTTATTTTGAGATAGGGTCTTGCTGAGTTGTTGAGGCTGGCCTCAAAATAATGATCCTCCTGCCTTAGTCTCCTGAGCAGCTAGGATTGCAGGTGTGTGCCACTGTGCCCAGCCTTTTGTATATATTTATACCAAAAAATATATTTATTTTTATTGGATTTCACAAACATATTACTCCATGGCAGGCGGGAAGTTTAAAAAGCACTTTTCTAAAAAACATGACCCTATGAATTTGCAGTAGACAATAAGAGAAGGAAAAAGCCTTGCCCACAAACAACAGCCCTGACTCAGAGATGCTTTCCTTCCCCCAACCAAGTTCCTTTCTTCTGACGTGCAACTTCCTCCTGGGCAGGTCTTCCTTCGGGAATCCTTGGAGCAGAAGCTGGAGAAACAACGGGAAGAAGAAGTTACTCGGGCAGCCATGGTGATCCGGGCCCACATCTTGGGCTATTTGGCACGGTAAGAGCCATGCCAAGGGGAGAGGGCCTGTAAGGGGCTGTGTGTGGCTCCATTGGGGTAGCCTGAGTCATTAGCATGGAGGGGTGTCCCAGGTCAGGCCTCTTAAGTAGCCACACCAGCAGCCCAAGCCCAGTAAGCCTGACCTGGGCGGAAGCAGGAAAGAGTACATGCCACTTTTTGACATCTCGGTTGCAATTCTCATTAGAGGATTCTACCAAGATACCTAAATTATTTGCCTAGTTGCACTGCATCCTATGCTGAAGCCACAGCACCTCTGTTTACTTTGGTATTGCAGGTTAACTATACCTTGTCCAAAATGCATGGGACCAGAAAAATTTCAGATTCCAGAATTTTTGGATTTTGGCATGTTTGCATGCACTGTACTGGTTGAACATTCTAATGTGACACTCTGAAATCTAAAATGCTCCAGAATCTGATTGTCTTTTTGTTGCAGTGCTAAGGATTAAACCCAGGGCCTCCCACATGCTAAGCATGCCCTCCACATCAAGAACCCAAAACTTTTTGAGCATTGTGTCAGCACTAGTTTCAGGTTTTTAGAAGAGGGATGCCCACCCTGTGTCATTTTTGTCCATGCATTCTCTAGTTGTTTGGGGAAGGAGGCACCTCCTTTTAACTGCATTTTAGTTCTCTCCACTATGTGTAATAGCGGGCCACGTGAAGCTTCACACAACCACATTTTCTGAAATAGAGCATTTTCTGAAATAGAGTGCTCTCTATGATGGTATTTTGCTTTGTTTGTTTTCATATGAGCAGGAGAATATATCATATCTACTTGGGTTCTGTTTACCCAGCTTCCTGCCGGGCAATTCGAAGTCAGTGTTAGGGGTTCTGTGTTTATTTAGACAAGATAGTGATAGAGTTCTTACTTGTTTTGTTTATTATTCTTTTGTTTTCTTCTGTTTTGATTTAGCCAAAGGGCCTCCTTGTTCTCTCCAGTCTCCTAATGAAAGTATCTGATGAGAGTACCATTTCAAAACTAAGTTCTCTCCTCTTGTCTTGAAGCCTTAATGAAGCTTATTTGAATAACTCACAACCTCATTACTTCAACTGCTGTTCTTTTCCTTTGCAGAAAGCAATACAGAAAGGTCCTTTGTGGTGTAGTGACAATACAGAAGAATTATAGAGCCTTCCTTCTAAGGAAGAGATTTTTGCACCTGAAAAAAGCAGCCATAGTGTTCCAGAAGCAACTCAGAGGCCAGCTTGCCCGGAGACTTTACAGACAACTGCTGGCAGAGAAGCGGGAGCAAGAAGAAAAGAGGAAGCGGGAGGAAGAAGAAAAGAAAAAACGGGAGGAAGAGGAAAGGTGCGATGTCTTTCTTCCTTGGATGAAACAATAGGACACATTTTGAGTTTTATGCTCAATCTCTCTCAAGAATTCCCAGTGGACACTGCAGAACCTCCTATTGAAACAAACAGGGATTCTTGGCATCTGGAATGTAAAATTCCTTGGCAGTATTTGAAGCCCAGTTCTGTGCATATTTCTATTCACACATAGAATAGGGACCATGCCAAAGGCAGAGGCTACATTCTTCATATTTCTTAACTTGCATTTAGCAGAGCTTTTTAAAAGTTACATTTTGCTGGATGTGGTGGTGTACACCTGTAATTCCGGCTACTCAGGAGGCTGAGACAGGAGCATTGCAAGTTCAAAGCCAGCCTCAGCAACTAGCAAGGCCTTAAGCAATTAAACTGTCTTAAAATTTAAAAATAAAAAGGGTTAGGGAAGTGGCTAAGTGGTTGAGTGCCCCTGGGTGTAATTCCTGGTACCTAAATAAATAAAAAATAAAATTACATCTTGGACTGGGGATATAACTAAGTGGTAGAGCTCTTACCTAGCATGAACAAGGCCCTGGGTTCCACCAAAAAAAAAAAAAAAAAAGTAGATTTTGCTGAAAAATCATTCTACAATTATTATGATTTTTATCTTCTTTTCTCTTTTCCATTTTTAGAGAAAAAGAGAGAATGAGAAGAGAAGCAGAGCTCCGTGCCCAGCAGGTGATGATTACTGTAACAGTTTGGCCTCTCCCTTATTTGCTTCCCTCCCACTGCAAACACTGCGTGTAGGAATCAAAACTGGGGGGGTGGGGGTGGGGGATAGGTAGAAGGAAAGAACAGCTTGAGGAAATGTTTATGGTTCATTTTCTTACATGTTTCCATTGGGGAAAGCTTTGTGATTGTCAAATTTTATTGTGATCACAACAGCATAGTTTCTTGAAGCCAAGGAAAACCCTGTGTTAATTTGCTAGGATTGATGTAATTGTGTACCAGACGGGTGGATTAAACAATGGAAACTGAGTTTCTTACAGTTTTGGAGGGTGGGAGTCCAGGATCAGGCTTGGTTTTTCCTGAGGCCTCATATCTTGGACTTGCTGATGGCCACCTTCTCGCTGTGTCCTCACATGGGCTTTCCTCTATGTTTGCACGTCCAAGGTGTCTATGTGTCCTTATGACTTCTTATAAGGGCACCATCAGGTCAGATGTGGACCCACTCTAAGAGCCTTCACCGCTCTATATGTGCTGTCTCCAAGTACAGTCACATCCTGAGGTGTTGAGCAGTACAGAGGCACAGTTCAGGTCATGGCGATCATATTTCATCATAGTTCCAAAGAAGGAAGATGCTTGTGGGTTTTGGTAGTGTGACATTCTAAAACCCACCTTCCCATTGTATTCAGGAGGAAGAAGCCAGGAAGCAACTAGAGCTGGCGGCCTTGCAGAAGAGTCGCAAGGAAGCCGAACTGACCCGGGAGCTGGAGAAGCAGAAGGAAAACAAGCAGGTGGAAGAGATCCTGCGCCTGGAGAAAGAGATCGAGGACCTGCAGCGCATGAAGGAGCGGCAGGAGCTGTCCCTGACCCAGGCCTCCCTGCAGAAGCTGCAGCAGCTGCGGGATGAGGAGCTCCGGCGCCTGGAGGACGAGGCGTGCCGGGCTGCTCAGGAGTTCCTGGAGTCCCTCAACTTCGACGAGATCGACGAGTGCGTGCGGAACATCGAGCGGTCCCTGTCCGTGGGCAGCGAGTTTTCGGGCGAGCTCAGTGAACTTGCCGAGAATGCAAGCGCCGAGAAGCCCAACTTCAACTTCAGCCAGCCCTATCCCGAGGAGGAGGTGGATGAGGGTTTTGAGGCCGACGATGACGCCTTCAAGGACTCCCCCAACCCCAGTGAGCACGGCCACTCGGATCAGCGGACAAGTGGCATCCGGACCAGCGACGATTCCTCGGAGGAAGACCCCTACATGAATGACACAGTGGTGCCCACCAGCCCCAGCGCAGACAGCACGGTGCTGCTCGCCCCCTCCGTGCATGACTCGTCCAGTGGCGAGTCCACCTACTGCATGCCCCAGAACACTGGAGATCTGCCCTCCCCGGACGGCGACTATGACTACGACCAGGATGACTACGAGGATGGCGCCATCACCTCTGGCAGCAGCGTGACCTTCTCCAATTCCTATGGCAGCCAGTGGTCCCCAGACTACCGGTGCTCCGTGGGGACGTACAACAGCTCTGGGGCTTACCGGTTCAGCTCCGAAGGGGCGCAGTCCTCGGTGAGTAGTCCGGGATGTGGAAGCGCTCCACCCTCTCACCCCCTTGTCATCTGTCCCCTTAAGACACACGTCTAGAACCAAAGAAGGTAATTAAACCCCTTTCTCTTTCCAAAGGCCATTTGAATTATAAGTGATACTTTAATGTGCTGGTGATGGTTGGAGCCCAAAGCCCAGAACTGAATTTTGCCCAGGACCTTCGAAAACGGGCATTTTAAATGGAGCCTTAGGTTTGCTTTGCTGCAGACACACCCCAAACTGGAATCAAACTAGCCATGGGCATATTGAGAACTTTCTTTACAGTAACTTCACAATCCACACCACACTATGTGATGTTATCTTGTACTGGTTGTAAGGGAGGAACTTTTGAGTTTAAATATGCTCTTTCCAGTTTCTAATGTTATTTATAGTTTACTTTCATTTTTCCCCCTTTGATCATGCATTAAATGCTGTCTTTACTTTCTAAGACTTGAAAATGTTTTAGCATAGTAATTTAAAGGAGATTTAACTCTTGCATGGTTTGATTAAAATTATACCCTTAAAGAACAGTGCTCTTTTTAGAATCAAGCCTTTGGATTAAAGTATATCTTGTTTTTTTAGGTTTCAGTTCAACTGACAGTTTGACCTTAAAAATTAGTATTTTGTTATTCTGAATTCCTTTGCCACACTCCATTGTAATGTTATGAGCTGAGAGTGAACTTTTTGATCTGTCATTTTTTGATGTTTACCTATGCTGGCATTTCCATTGCTTGATTTCCATCCTTTCTCAACATTAATGTTCTGTCTCTTTTCCTCTTTCTCTAGTTTGAAGATAGCGAAGAAGACTTTGACTCCAGGTTCGATACAGATGACGAACTTTCTTACCGGCGTGACTCTGTGTATAGCTGTGTCACACTGCCTTACTTCCACAGCTTTCTGTACATGAAAGGTATGACCTACAGCCCCAGAGCCTGGGCCAGGGTACAGCAGTGGGAAATGGATTTTGCCTTCCCTGAACTGGTTGATGGACCTGGGAAAGCCACTCCATTGTGCCTCTCCTTGGAGTTATATGGCTTAAGCAAATGGGAACACCATGCTGGGTTGGCTTAAGGATGGTTGTGGTCCTGCTATGATGAGCATGGCTCTGGCACCCCTGGTTTGGTCCACAGTGATAGGACAAAGAGTTTGCAACCACTGAGTTCATTTTCAGCCCCTCTCTCCTGTCTGTTGCTGCCCCCTCTCACTCATTCTCTTTCTCTCACACATACAAAAACAAATGTGTGTGTTGTTACTGCTAGAAGTAACAGACTGCATTTCCTCATGCACAGGGTGTTAGAGAACCTAAAAAGGTGATGCTCTGGGGGGCGAGGATTAAAGATATGACAGGGCCACAGTTTGCTTAAACTGCTTACAGCACCCACTTCCTGAAGAGGATTTTCCTTTAATTGCTATTAAATGCTGAATATACTATATTGGACTTTAGCCCTTGGGAACCCTGAGCCTTATACCATTTGGAAAATGTTTTACTTAGGACCTGGTACTCGTGCCTTGTTCCTATTCCTGGCTCTCCCGGCCCCTCAGGGGAAGGCATAAAGAAAAACTGTTTGGTAGGAGTTTTACTTGAGTGGCCAAGAGGGAACCCTCATTTCCCACATGATCCTGGACTCGATGGGAAAGTCAAGAACGTGGGGACAGAGCAGAAGAAGAACCAGCCTCCCCTGGTGGTGTCTGACTCTGCTGCCCTTTCTTTTCTCTCCTTTTCCTGCTTTCCCCCATCAAGTGTTTTGTCTTCTCTAGTCCGTGTGTGTGTGTGTGTGTGTGTGTGTGTGTGTATGTGTGTGTGGTGCTGGGGATTGAACCCAGGGCCTTGTGCATGCAAGGCAAGCACTCTACCAACTGAGCTATATCCCCAGCCCCTCCAGTCCTTTTCTTCACTTTTTTTTCTAGTGCTATTTCCTTCTTTCATTCTTCCATTTTCTCCTCTTCTTTCCCTTGAGAAACTTTTATTCTGCCTCCTTTCCCTATTTCCTCTTGATTTTTGTTTGTGTAGTTTTTGCTTTGGGATGCTTTCTTTCCTTTCCAGTTTGTTTCTCAGCTCTTGGCATATTTATCTTTTCCATATGTCATCTTTTGCCCTCCTTAATATTTTCTTCTGCCTTTCCTGTGGTTTTCTTTTCATTTGATTTATTTTTGCTAGGTCTGCTGCCTTTGTAAAACAGGAGTCTGATGATTAATATCAGTCCTTCTCTTTAAGTTCTTCATCCTCTGCCTCAGATCCAAAGTGCTCACAAAACCCCCACCAGGTTTGATTTAGGGGAGACTTGCCTGAAGTCATGGGGGATCTTAATCAAGATGTGTACCCACATTGGAACCCCTGATATGGGAAAATATGTAATCACAAATCAGAACCTAATGATCCAATCAATGTTTAATCATGGCATCTAAAGATTTTCTTAGACATTTCTCAGGTAGAATAAATATAAGCTTTTTATTGATATAATTCCTTCCCCAAATTAATTTCTAGTTCTCTAAATTTGCTTTAAAATCTCCTATAATATCACAGTTGATTGCAGTATTGGCATTGAAGCTGGGCACAGTGGCACACACATAATCCCAGCTACTCAGGAGGCTGAGGAAGGATGATCACAAGTTCAAGGCCAGCCCGAGCAGCTTAGTAAGACCTGTGTGAACATAAATAATCTAAAGGACTAGGGGTGTAGCTCAGTGGTAGAATACTCCCTGAATCAATCCTCAGTACCACAGCAACAAAACAGGCAAACAGCTAAAAATACGTGGCTATGTGGCTTTGGTTTATTACATTGTTGTCTGACTAAAACTAAACGATTAGAAAAAGTAGAAAGTAGAACATTTAAATCAGAATTCATAGAGGTAACTATTTTGGAGTATCTCTTAATAAAGTACATTACTGATTAAATATAGCATCAATTAATTTTTATCAAACTCTTGAATAAAATAATGCCCAGAATTTTCAGAGAAACCATAAAAAAAGAAAATACAGTCAGCACTTTGTACTCATGGGCAAGGAGGAGGTTTCACCAGCCAAATAGCTTACTAAAGGTGTTTGCAGTTAGGAAATTAACAGCATTGATCAAATTCTCTATATGATGCTGTATCAGAAGAACATGTAGAATCCCGAGGGAGGGCTATCACTGGTACTTCTGAGAACAGAGGAGTGACAGGTTCCACACCAGTGGTGAGGGCTGCTGTGGCGACTAATGCTGTCTTTGACACAGCTGAGGGTGAATGCGATCATTTAACGAACAGAACAACTTTGTACTACAGTTTTCCTTTGGACTTGTTTTGAAAAACCCAGATTAAAGTCACAAATCAAAAAATAGTAATAATGTTTCACTGGGAGTCCTTGGCAAGTTTGCTGTTGGTTAGGAAACAGCTCTGGAGTGTGACCACACAGGGATCTCAGCCAGACAAGCAGAGAGCACTTCAGAGGTGAAGAAAGCCGGCATCTGTGCACTGCAGCAAAGCCAGGGGACTTCCACCACCTCGTTGGTTCTAGTCAGAGGGTTGATTACACAACCATTGTCCCAGTCCTTGAGGAAAGATCTCGTTTTCCAATCTATAAAGTATTATTTTTGCTTATTTAACTATCCATGTCAAATATCTCTTATTACTGGGTGATCAAAGATTGAAATATGGGAAGTCTCATAATAAAGTGTTGAAGTAGATTCTGTCCTTCAGTATACTAGTTAAAACAGGTTTTTAAACAGTCATGGTATAATGTCACTCTTAAGCATCCTCAGGGAATCTATAATACTAAGATAAAATTGTCCTGCGGAAAGGACATTGAAATTTTTTTTAATTCTGTGAAAGATAGTATCTGCATATTCTTTTAATTTCAGCTAGAAAGTTTACTACTACACAAATTTAAGCTGAACTTTCTCTTTTAATGTCCAATTTCTCGGCTTTTTTTTTAAATAATGTCATCTTATAGCTTCTCCTTTAAGCCATTTTCAGATAATGCTCTTTGAAAAAACCATGTTTATACATGTATACCATATATTTTTTAAATTCTTTATTTATTTATTTTGTGGTGCTGGGAATTGAACCCAGGGCCTCCTGGGCAAGCCCTCTGCTACTGAGCTATCGCCCTCAAACACCATATTTTCTTGTTCTCTGTTAGACTTTATCACCAAATGATGGAATTCTTGTTCCACATTGACCAGATGTGGAAGGAAACATATAAAGGATACCATCTTAAAATAACTTCCCCACTTTTTGGGGCATTTGGAAGCCACCATTATCCATACACAGAAATGGTTCTAGACTCATTCCTGGGTGGGAGTGTCAATTCTTAGTTGCCTTTCTGTGTGCTCCGTACAGTCTTCTCAGCTCAGTGAGTCAGCGCTGTTTAGTCCGTCAGGAGGGGCACCCAGCTGCTGTGAGACTGGAGCCAGCATCTCCAGCCTTCCTTGAAGGGTTTCTGAGTGCAGCTCAGCCAGGCAAGGTTAAAGACTGTCTGTGCCTTGAGACCTGTTACAGAAATTGTCGTCCCATGTGATTGACTTCTTAAACCTTTTCCTTTAAAACTTCCTCTTGGGGCAACAGGTGGCTTAATGAACTCCTGGAAGCGCCGCTGGTGTGTCCTCAAGGACGAAACCTTCCTGTGGTTCCGCTCCAAGCAGGAGGCCCTCAAGCAAGGATGGCTGCACAAAAAAGGCGGTGGCTCCTCCACCCTGTCCAGGAGAAACTGGAAGAAGCGCTGGTTTGTCCTCCGCCAGTCCAAGCTCATGTACTTTGAAAATGACAGCGAGGAGAAGCTCAAGGGCACCTTGGAAGTCAGGACAGCCAAGTAAGTAGATGAGCCTGGGTGTGGCCCTTGGGCGGTGCTGTGCACTGCTGTGCACTGCTTGCTAATTTGCACCAAATGATAGAGTGCTCCCTTGTGCACGTTTCTTGCAGTAAGAGGCTCCACTAGGTGTTGAGTCTGATAATTCTGTTCAGTGCATTGAATTAGTAGGAATTTAAGACTTTGTGAATAATTTGCCTTTTGTGGTTACACTCAGACATAAGTCTCTCATTGGGAAGGTGGCCCCTTGAATGTACAGTTAACCCACTGGAATTATGTTCGCATGCAGGAAAAATGGTGTGAATCTGCAGCAGTTGGTTGAGAGTCCTTTCATGGGTTACCTTGGCACTTTGAATTCTTCCTCGCTCTGGCTATTAGCCAGCAGTTTAATTAGCTAAGTTGGGAGCAGACTGCCAGTGTTGTGAAATGGGTCATCTATCTTCTACCTGTGTCCTCAATGCTAGCCCTCCCCATTCCCAGCAATAAGAGGAACAAGACTGGCCTTTGAGTCCCATGGAACCACTCTCTCAGCCACCCTTTAGAGAACCAAGGCTTTGGATTATCAAGGGACTATTGTTTTTGTTAAAAACTAAATAATGTTATTAGAAAATATCGTTGATGCTAAGGGTACCTTATCTTCTTGGGTACTCAGGTACTAGGTAAACTTGTTTAAGAGCGATCTGTGGCTGTACTCCACTCAAAACTGAGCGACTATAAATATTTAAGAAAGTGGTAAAGTAAACTTGGAAAGATCAAATTAACCCCGAAGTCATACAACTTAAAAATGAAATGTTGTTTCTCATCAGCCAGCATCAGCAACTTCAGAAAATTACTCATGGGCAATGGAAAGTTGAATGACTCAGAGAGGAAGGTCTTTATGTATTGGCTTTAGGACAAATCATGAGTGCACAGAGCAGCACATTGGACATTTCCAGGCTGCTTCTTTGGGCTTACTAGGAACCAGTCTAGGTGTTTTGGAAATTCAGGTGCGAGTCCTACAGCAAGTGTCCACAGCATGGCACAGCCCTGCCAGCCTCACTGCCCATTCTCAGCCCGCTTACTGTGATGTTCCTCTTCATGGTTTCATAGTTGGGGCCACACCCCCCAGCCCTTTGTAGGTGTATAGGCTTAGGCATAAGGATTGCAGGTTCAAGGCCAGCCTGGGCAACTTGGTGAGAACCCATCTCCAGATAAAAAATACAGAGGGCTGAGGATGTAGCTCAGTGGTATAGCACCACTGGGCTCAACCTCTAGTACTTAAAAAAAAAAAAAAAAAAAAATACCTTCCAGTATTAAACTCCAGTTGTTCCAATTTCCCACAGTTATCTCATAAATGGAGGTGGTTTAGGTTGGTTTTATAGTTTCTTTCTTAAAATCAGAATCCAAACGAGGTCTAGACTTTGTCGTAGGTGTTGACATTAGGTTTCTTGCTTGATAGACACCCCACTCCCCACATGCTGTCTTCCACTAGTTAGCTGCAGCTGAACAACTTCATTGGCTCACTGATTTCCAAGCCTCACTGGTGCCAGGCCAGTGCCTTCTTGAACATGATCTTCATTCTCATTTTTCTTCTGTGGATTAGCTGTTAGACTTCCAGTTCAGGTCTTCTGCACACCAGTGCTCCATAAATGGCAGGTCTCTTTCCAATTGTTGCTTAGGAGCATGAATTTCTTCAGGGGCAACAAACATGACCTGGCACATCCAGGGGTATGACTGTAGACTGTTAGGGGTCACAGAATGGCAGTAGTCATCCCTCAGAGTCTATAGAGTGTTGGTTACAGAACACCCTGCCCCTCAGGGGTATCCAAATTCAAGTTTCTTGTAGAAAAGGGCACAGTATCTGCATGTAAACTACACATCCTCTATAAATAATAACTAAAATGTAAATGCCGTGTAAATAGTTATACTGTATTGCTTAGGGTATGATGTAAAGAAGCAGCAAGTACATGTTCAGTACAGGTACTGGCTTTTTTCTGAATATTTTCAACCTGCTGTTGAGCAGACCACGGACACACAGGGCCAACAGTACTCATTTATCACCTAGAAGATTTCTAGCAAGAGAGACTTCTAATCTGGTAGTTATGGTCCTAAGGTACTGTTTGTTTAGGCAAGGCAACATAAATGCTTGACCCCACCCCTCACCCCAGTTTCCAGGAAGATGAGTGGGTTCCCCTGCATGCTCCACTGATGGCAACTTTGGGTATTTCATTTATTTTTCCAAGTATCAGTTGAGCTCGTGCATTTTAATGTATTTAGTGGGTTTTCGGTCATTGCAGCTTTTCACAGGGATGCCTCTCCATGTTCCCTTGTCTTTCCCATGTCATCCTGGTAGTTTTTAATACCTTCCTTGCTTTCTGATAGAAGATGTTCCCTACTCTTACAATTCAGGCTGTATAAACAAAGATCTCCTGAGTGTTTGCTTTGTTACTTTGAACTTGAGGCTTTGGGCGGAGTCCTGAATTAGAGCCTAGCTGCATGATTGGAGCCCTGCCAACACAGGGAAGCTTTTGAGTCCCTGGGCCTGCCTGTGTTATGAGTGCTTCCCAGGGTTCTGATGGACCACTGTGGTTCAGAACCTTGGCCTCACAGCTAGATCACAAGGTCTTACCCCTACTTTCTACACGAGGTACCCAAGTTCCTGAGAGAAAAGTGGGTCATCCAAGAACAGTAGGCAGGTCAGTTTTTCCTGGGAATCATCTCCCTGCCCAGGAGGCTCCATTGCTAGACCCACTGGGTCATATTTGTCCTTCCACCCAGAGGGGGCCTGCAATTCTGATCTTAATTTTTTTAAAGAATATACTTATCTTGTTTCAGTGATGATAGCAATATGCTTGTTAGAACGGTCTTTCTACCAGTTAGACTGTTAAGTTTTTACTGTGAGCAGCTCTACTACTTTAGGTGTCAAAGCAAGCTGCCTTTATCCCCAAGACTGTTCTCCATCAAATATATTGCCATCTCTGATCTGGTGCCAACATCTGCTTGTGTTTTACCCTGATTTTGTTAATTCACCCTCCAGCATCTCAGGAGTTGTTTAGGGATAAGATCAAGATGATGGTGAGATCCAAAAATACCAAAGGCCTCTCTTCACCCAGTGGCCCCTGGTGGAAATAGTGTGTCCCTGTTGGGTGGACCGCATCAAGACAGCAGCCTAGGCCTTTAACTGGGATGGAAAGCTGTTGTCTTAGTGTGTTTGGGCTGCTGTAGCAGAATACCTCAGACTGGGTGATTTGTAATGAACAAAAATTTATTTGACTCATAGCTGAGAAGTCCAAGATCGAGGGGGAGAAAAGGCCAAGAGATTTAATTGGCAGCCTCAAGCCTTTTAATGATCAGCATGAATCCATTCATGAGGGGGGAGCCCTCCTAAGAGGTTCTCCTCAGCTCTGTTGCATTGGGCATTAAGTTTTCAACACCCGAGCTTTGGGGGACACATCAAATCATAGCTGCCATTATAAAGTAGGGAAAGAGATCAGACAGGAGCCACAGGAAAGCCTCTCTAGAACCTAAATGGGAAAGGCATTGGGCAGGCTGTGTAAAAGAGGCCCCTCTCTGGAGAAGCCAAGGGATACCACACACACAACACCATACCCTGCTCCTGGGGTCAGAGAGGAGCCTGGCTCCCCCTTGAGGTCACAAGAATCTTCATCATTTCTAAGAGAAAAATCAAAAAAGGCTGATATAGGTACAGTGGTCCCACCAGATCCGGTTTCACGTTCCACAATTTTACCTGTGGTCGACTGCAATCTGAAAATATTAAACAGAAAATTTCATATTTTGAGGGAGAGACTGTTTATGTAACTTTTAATATAGTATGTTGTTAGAATTGTGCTTATTGTTGATTACTATTGTCAATCTCTTACTGTTCCTAATTTACAAATTAAGCTTCATCGCAAGTATGTGTGTATGGATTGGGCATTTCTAACCCCCAAATCCAAAATGCTCCAAACTTTGTGAGTGCTGACGTGATGCCACAAGTGGAAAATTCCACACCCAACCTCATGTGATGGGTCACAGTCAAATATAGACAAAACATATACTAAAAATACTTTATAAACTACCTCCAGGGAGCTCAGGGTCTAGCACAGTAGTAGGTTATAGGCTTAGCATGTGAGAGGCCCTGGGTTCAATCCCCAGACACCAAAAATAAACAACTCTGGCTGTGTGTGGAAGGTGTAAAAGAAACACAAGTGAACTTCATGTTTAGACTTACATCTCATCCCTGAGACATCTATCTCATTATATACATGCAGATATTCCTAAGTCTGAAACACTTCTTATTTCAAGCATTTTGGATAAAGACTCTTCAACCTAGGAAAAATAGTCATCATAATAATTTGGATTCAGTAGTCTGATTTCCAGTATCCATGGAAATCTGGTTTCCCTATGATAAGTGGGTACTATCGCATATAGTTTTTTAGTAACAGTTTCAACTTAGTCATAAAAATTCCTTTTCTTGGTTTTTTATTAGAAATTCTGTGTTCTTGATTTTTATTCATTGCTTTTGTTTCTTTGCAGAGAGATCATAGATAACACCAACAAAGAAAACGGGATTGATATCATTATGGCTGATAGGACCTTCCACCTGATTGCGGAATCCCCAGAAGATGCCAGGTGGGGTCTGCACTCTCACTTCTTTTAACCACGTCCTTCCTCACAGGCATATGCAGCACACAGGGCGCTGTTCACCTGGTTCGAGAAGTTTAACTGATGTTCTAGTTGGCTTTCTGTTTGTTCTGTCCTGCAGTCTTTAAACACAGCACAGATTTGGAACTTCGTCCTCATGTGCCCTGCACAACCCTCCTGTTTATCTTAGTTCAGGCTCTTATGGTCACTGATAGTGAGTGTAAACAAGGCTGAAAGCCCACTCTCTGGATGTTTCCAACTTTGAAAGCGAACAGCTTGTATGTGCACAAGGATCTAGGGAACAGAAGCATAATTTAAGCAGGGGCTGTTTAAATAAATGATAGTGCTTTGGAAATTGGAGGCTTTTAAAAATCTCTGTGCTAAAGTGTTTGAGAGACAAGATACTAAGTTAGTAGAAATAAATCTGTAGGAGGCAGTATTTTAAGTATATCATGTATATTAACTCACCAGCAGTCCAGCGGGGTAAGTATTATCATTACCACTATTTGTACTTTGCAGAGAAAGAGTTGAAGGTATGGGAAAAAAATTTGTAAGTTTACGAGCATCTGTACAGATTGCACGTTTTTCTTCTTAATGTATTTCTAATTAGATGTAATGCAAGGCTTGTTTTTTTTTCTTTTTTCCTTATTTTTGGTGGGGGGGTGCTGGGGATTGAACTCAAGGCACTCAACCACTGAGCCACATCCATAGCCCTATTTTGTATTTTTAGTTAGAAACAGGGTCTCACTGAGTTGCTTAGCTCCTCGCCATTGCTAAGGCTGGCTTTGAACTTGTGATCCTCCTGACTTAGCCTCCCAAGCCGCTGGGATTACCACGCCCAGCTTATAAGGCAAGCTTTGTTCTATTGATGGAGGCATTAGAATTCCTACATTTCTTTCTTAAGGAGTTTGAATTTTGATTGAGACAAGAAAGGATTTCCCTATTGGCTGGGGCAAGTTGCCTCTGTTTCTGGACCTCTGGTTTCCATGTTGGAATGCTGAGGACATGGAGCACAAAGTTCAGAAGAACTTTTTGCTTTTCAGTGAGACATCACAAGGTCACATAGTAAGTGTGACTCAGTGGAGTCACTGTCCCATCCATTCTGCTGCTTTGTAGGGTTATGTTGGAGGTGACTGTCATCAATTCTGGGCAGCTCTAGGTTCCAATTTATGAGGGTAACATCCAATGGCCTATGTATTATTCTTCAGTTCTCATCCCAGAAGTCACTAGAACCCTCTGAGTTCTCAGGGCTTCTCACTACCCTTTGCCCTTTGAATGTTTTTAAGTCAATATAACCTCTCGATAGTAACATTAAGGGTAAAGACACCAGAAAGTAATTCTTCCCATGGGAACAAACTGAAACCCTGGTTTGACTCATAAATTATAACACAAACTGGAAAAACAAGCAAACCTGAAATTACAGCACCATCATTCCGTCTGGGACTCCTAGAGACCTCGTGTGGTTTTTTGCGGTCCAGGGAGTGCCCACAGCTTTTTAGCTGAATTATAGACCCAGCGTTTGGCAGCTGTCCTGTCTGTTTTATGCTGTAATGAACCTGCTAAATTTAGCATCTGGGATATTTTAGCCAAGGACTTTTTCCCCTGACCAGTGGAACACATTTTTAAAAATTCTCTTTTGGACTCCAAGTTATAACTTGATTCAGTGAAGAAATTTTATAAGTTTAAGAGCATCTGTACAGATTGCACATTTTTCCTCTTAGTATATGTGTGTGCATGTGGCACACATCTTGAGTTTATATATTTTACAATTTTGATTTAGGGAATTTTTAAGCTCAGAGATGACTAGAGGGTTGCCTTCTGCTTCACCAGCATTTGACGGGGCAAGTCCATCTTAAGCTGCTTTTCTTGGTCTCCCTAAGCTGTTGTTCAGATTGAATGTTTTTAAGATCTTATTCACGTTTTCTCCTCCAGGAATTACAGGAGATAGATTTTAATTCTTTGCTATACGGCCTAATCTTTATTTGTGGGTGTTATTTTTTCACTTAAATATCCCATTGCATACCAGGTACTTACCCTTCTGTATTATTTAGTAGGGGCACACATATAATATGTTTGCAAACCCTTAGTAGGAGGATGATGACATAGCTTCTCTCTTACTTGTAACTTCTCACATGCTGTAGTTGCTTAATGCTAAATGAATAGATAGCCATTAGTGATCTTTTTCCTCGTGCATGTCCTGATTTTTCTGAAGTTCTCAAATATTTTTCCTTACTTTCTGTTTATGGTGAGGCTTGAAGTGAGAAATCTCATTTGAAATGAAGATGGGCGAGTTATCTGGTGGAAATAACTTTCTGCTTTCTACTTTAAGCTATTTTTTTCTTCTTTCCCACTCTCCAGTGGTTTTATTCACTTAAATAGAAGTACTGGAGTATTTAAGGAGTAGAGAACAAATACCCAGTGCTGTGCTTAAATGGGCTTAGTTATAGTATTGACCTTCTTAACCTTGTAATTTATTTTCAAGACAGGGAAGGAGCCTGATTGACCTCTAGGGTATACGTAAGATTCAGTAAATGTCCTTGATTTAAGTATTTTAGGTAGAAGTATGTATTTCATTATTTACTGACAGTTTCTCAAGGAACATACCAACATCAGATGTCTGTGGGGATTTTGAGGAGAGGTCTTCAATAGACATCAGAACACATGATACTTAAAGGTGCTTTGGCTGCTTTTTTGAACTTTCCCCTTGGTAGAGTGAATCCCACATTTCCCTAAGGGGAAGAAGGCAAATTTGAATCAAAGGTGCTTGGAGGAGATGATATTTCCACAGAGAACATGGAAAAGGGCACCATTGCTTTGCTAGTCCAACCCTTGGCTGCCCCTGACAGCTGTCCTCTCTCCACAGCCAGTGGTTCAGCGTGCTGAGTCAGGTCCACTCGTCCACGGACCAGGAGATCCGGGAGATGCACGACGAGCAGGCAAACCCACAGAATGCCGTGGTGTGTGAGCACTGGGGGTGGAGGTGGGGTGTTCCGTAGGGGCAAGGGAAAGGCAATCAGGATGCAAAAAGGACAGGACCAGGAATTTCTAGATAATCTTTTAAAATAAAAGTATAATAATTAAAGGGAAAAACAAAACCATTTAGGTTAAAAATTATGCATAGAAATAAAACAGAAAGTTACAGATGGTTAGAAATGTGATGTATTTTAATTTTCCTACCTCAGACCTTTAAAGGAACAAAAAAAAATTACAATTTTTATGACATCTTGGAAGCATATGAGACTTTTTCTTCAAAGGACTAGGCGAATTCCAAAATTGTTTTCTGTCTCGATCCCAGACGCAAAGTTATAAAATACTAGTTTATAAGAAAAAATTATTTCCTCAGAAGAAGAACTTGAAATCAAATAAAATATCTTAGCAGAGTTAAGTGTAAAATGTAGTAAAATATAGCAAAAAATCAGAACACGTATACTGCTGAAAGAAGTTCATGAATGTTCTTCACTGAAGATATTTTGAGAATGTGAGGCAATGGTTAATTCACAACACTTTTAAGGAAAGGCCTGTAGAATCTGCCTGTCTCGGCTGACCATACTCACTAAGCCAAAGGGACCTCTCCTCAATAATGGTTATTTTGCAGTTAATTAAAAAAGAAGGTATCTCTTTGGTTTGCTGATTGAGGGAGTCGTCTAGGGATGTTGCTATTCCATGTGCCCCACCTTGGTGTTCTCTCACTTTGGCTACTCCTTGCTCCTTCCCAGGGCACCTTGGATGTGGGGCTAATTGATTCCGTGTGCGCCTCCGACAGCCCCGACAGGTAAGTTCAGATGACCAAGCACTTGCAAGTGCCCACAGATCCTGTGCCTGGCCACTACCCCCTTCACTGCACCGTGGCACCACAGGGCTTGGCATTTCCCATAATCCAAAGTTTTCCTTTTTGGTATCCAGTTTTACATCACCTCCTGGCTGTCTTTGGAGTGCAGATGGAAGCAGTGGAGACCTAATTTAGACAGTCACTTTAAAACAGCAGCAGCATAAGGGGAATATTCTTTATTTGGTTGGAAGGACAAACTTTGGATTCATATGGAAAAAAAATCACTGATTGAGAAAATGCTGTTTCCTCATGAGGAGGGTATACTTCTATATTTTACTAAATTTGAAAAGGATTTTTATGTCAATGTAAATATAGAACTTTAATAAATAAAACCACAAACATTTCCTTTTTTTGACATTTCTGCTTTCTCTGTGCCCTTAAAGTAACATGTTTGGGGTATCTGATTTTGTACAAGGTGCCTTAGCACTGATCAACAACCCCATCTTTTTCCCATTTTTAATTTTGAGGCAGGGCTTCGCTGAGTTGCTGAGGCTGGCCTCAAACTTGTGATTCTCCTGCCTAGGCCTCCCAGGTCACTGGGATTGTACATGTGTGCCACCACACTCAGCTGTAGGTTTTGCTTTTTTAAGGCAAATCATCTTTACAGTCTTTGTACCTAGTGAGTTTTGTTTATTGTTTATTGTTTTGCTGCTTGTAAATTCTGTTCTTGGTCTTCAGTAAAAGTGGCTCTAGGGCCAGAGTCAGAATCAAAACTGACTAATGCTTTTAGTAAGATAGCCAGAATGTGAATATGAGTGTATTAAAATTGACAACAAATATAGTGTCTACTGGGCAGGAGCAGGATTTGAGCTTGGTGGGTGTGGGAGGTCCTCCATCATCCTACCACTAACACAGCCCTTCTAACTATGGACCCTTTGTTTTCAGGAGTGAACCTGCACCTTCTTAAAGATTCACTAGACAGTCACTTTAAAACAGCAGCAGCATAAGGGGAATATGTAATCTGTAACAAGAGCGCATTGACAGTCATTGGGGCCAGGTTCTCACTGCAGTGCTTAAACCTCCCCGCTTACCTAATCTACCTCCTCTTCTCTCACATCCCCTTACTGGGCACATGATGGTCCATGCTGCGAACTTGACATCTTGCTCAGATTTTTCTCTCTTCAACTGCCCAAACTTTTCCCTTCTCTGGGGGGTGGGGGGGGCTTTTTATGTTTATTTTTAAGGGGACCTTAAGTCCAACCTTTTTGTATTGAATTCCCTGACTATTACAGTTCAATGAATCTTCTGTTTCTTGAACTTCAGTAGTATTTCACTGTGGTAAGCACTTGAACACATGAGAGGGTGAGGTCAAATTCATTAGTTTAAGCAGTTAGGTATAGGAATTAAGTGTGAACATAGGCTCATGAGCAATTCAGAGCTTTGTCACAGAAAAAGAGCTGAGTATGACAAGTAAATTTCCATTATCACTTTATCCCCACTGAGAGATGCACCCTTGTTGGATTGCTTTGGAAACATGGACCCAGCTGGCTTTTTGTACCAAGCATACCAAGTGCATAAGATGTTCCATTTACACGTATTTACTGATCCTCTTACCGGTGTCTAATGCTCATTCCTGACCCGCAGAAATACTATCCAAGGCAATATCCAGAGGCAAAAAGAAATTGACTTTGGAGAAACATCAAAAAAAAAAATTTCCCCCATAGTCACCTTATTTAGCCTTTCCGGAACTGAGTTTCATCTGGAAAGTTTTGCATGAAGAAATGTTTTCCCTCCAAGGACCTTTGGAATGAATGTGTTCCTCCAAGTTTAAAGGTTAATGATGAATAAAATAAATCCTGCAGAAATGAGCAAAGTTTGCCTTAATACAAAAAATACAAATAGCATAACAGTGTTTCTCCCTGTGACCCATAAGCCAGGAAAAAGGCATTTAGTTTTGGTGCCCAGGGAGAAGATGCTGACAGTAGAGCTAACAGGCTGTGCTTCCCTCTCCCCTGTCACTCAGACCCAATTCATTTGTGATCATCACGGCCAACCGGGTGCTCCATTGCAACGCAGACACGCCAGAGGAGATGCACCACTGGATAACGCTGCTGCAGAGATCCAAGGGGGACACCAGAGTGGAGGGCCAGGAATTTATAGTGAGAGGTGATTGCCCTGCATACTTGCACTGTCTTTTTTCTAGACGTCTATTTTCCTTTGTGTAGATACCTGCATCATTTCCACCCTGAGCAACTTTTCTGAGTCACTTTGACTCTTGAAGTTTTTAAATGTGAATAAGCAAAGATCATGGCCATTTCCTAGCAGGTAGAAATGCAGCCCCTTTGTGGTTTCTCTTTAAAAAAATTTTTTTTTTAATTTTTATTTTTTAATGATTTTAATTTTTTTGGTACTAGGAATTGAATACAGGGGCACGTAACCACTGAGCAACATCTTCAGCCCTTTTTTATATTTTATTTAGAGACAGCGTCTTATTGAGTGGCTTAGTGCCTTGCTTTTGCTGAGGCTGGCTTTGAACTTGACATCCTCCTGCCTCCTAAGCCACTGAGATTACAAGCGTGCACCACCACACCTGGCTCTTCAAAAAGTTTTGTTTTCACTTTTCAATGTTAGGGATGGTACCTGGGGCCTGTGTATACTGTAAAAGTGCTCTACTGCTGAACCACACCATGGCCTATAGTTTTTAATTCACATTTGAATCTTCCTCTCCAGGGTGGTTACACAAAGAAGTGAAGAACAGTCCTAAGACGTCATCACTGAAGCTGAAGAAGCGGTGGTTTGTCCTGACCCACAACTCCCTGGATTACTACAAGAGTTCAGAGAAGAACGCCCTGAAGCTGGGCACCCTGGTCCTCAACAGCCTCTGCTCTGTCGTGCCACCGGACGAGAAGATATTCAAAGAGACAGGTAAGCGGGCTGTGGACTGGAAACTGACTGTCCTGGTACTCAGGAGGTCAGATCACAAGGCTTGGGCTTCCTCCAAGCAGAGGAGTGGGATTCCTAGGTACTGTGTGTACTTTCATCCCCCTCCCCCAAAAGGAACTTTGCTCTTGAGTTATCTCTGAGGCTGGCTATAGTCAGCTGTTCGAGCATGTCATATTTAAGCCATAGTAAACAGATTTGATTTACAGAGGTATAGAAAGACTGATAAGGACAAGAAAGTGTAGATGGACACAGAGCACACTGATCACATTTGTGTTTTTGTCCTTTTCATCATTGTGCCATAAGGGGCATGCAACCTACAAAAGATAAATCCTGCCTTCCTAGAGCAGGAGGAGCAGCATATAAACATAGAGGGGTTTCTTCGTTTTGTTTTTCTTCTAATTTGGAGAATTACAAGGTGTTCTGGAAGATTACTTACTTTGATTTTTATTTCCAGTTGTGATTTTGTGCTTTTTAAACATAGTCACACAGGTCTGGGTGGGTCAGGTGATCTCTGTGCCATGCACACCACTTAGTTCCTTGTCCTCTGTAGAAGGGAGAGCTGGGTGGGTGGCCAATGGGGATGGAAAGTCAAAATCCAAGGGAGGGTCTCAGTTCATTCTAGAGCCTAGAAATGAACACTGGTCTATACCTGCTGCTCTTTAAAAGGAAACGTTACAGTTTACGTCTGTAATTCTGAGTTTTATCTTTCCCTCTTTACTGAAATCTCCATATTTTTTAATGTGTCATTGATTACTGAGTGCCAGTCACATGTAGCATTTATCAAGTGTTATTGAATTAAATCATTAATTAATTTAAAGGGACCCCGGTCTGACACAATATAGGTTTCTAATGGTACTGAATTTCTGGGGCTCTGGTGCAAGAATATCACCTTGGTCACAGAGTTGGCCCCAATGTGTATGTGCTGCTGCTGTCCTTGCAGGCTACTGGAATGTCACTGTCTATGGGCGCAAGCACTGTTACCGGCTCTACACCAAGCTGCTCAATGAGGCCACTAGATGGTCCAGTGCCATTCAAAACGTGACAGATGCCAAGGCCCCGATTGACACTCCAACCCAACAGCTGATCCAGGATATCAAGGTAAAATAGAGCAGCTGAGAGTCGATCCCACATGCTGCCCTCAGCCATTAAGTCCATAGTGTAGGCCAGTGCAGCCAAAATTAGTGCTTGGTTAATCTGGAGTTAGGAATCTAAATGCAAGATTTTAAGTGAAAATATTACAGTAAAAACATTTTGCTTTTAGGGAGGTGCCAGATGCTGCAGCTGACAAAAGCCTAGATGTTGGTCTCAGTAGGCACAAGGACTGAAGGGCCTCCTGGCCACAGCCATGTGCGTGATCTGGGTCCTGACCAGTCTCAGGTTTCACCTCAGCTCCAGTTGGGACCTTCTAGGAGTAAGACCACAACTCTACCCTGGCTGCGCAGTTTCTAGACCACAGAAGTAGGTTCATGAAGAGCCTGGATTGGTTTAGAACTCAGGATCCCTGACAGGTGCCTCCTAGTGCCAAGAAGCTCCATGTCTCTGGATTAACATTGATTTTATGTCAAGTTGTAATTTCCTGTTTATATAAGTTTAGTGGCTCAGTAAATGTATATCAGTTGAAGGAATCAATGATTCAGCCATGGGCAAGAGTGGAAATGGAGACATGGATGTTCTGGTTGCTCTGCTCACAGAGCTGACAGCCTCTGGCACAGAACCAAGTCGAAGGGATCCTGTTGACGACTACGGTTCCCCGTGCAGGCAGATTCCCAGGGCAAGGAGAAAAGCTGGTGCTGTGGCAGGAAAGACGGGAGAATGGTGGTGAGGCGGTGTTTTACTGATGTACATCAAAGACAATCAGTCATTGGGGTTCAGGTGGCAAATGCTGCCTTCGTGGAAGGGAAGAGGGGCTGATGTGTGGCTAACATTAGCCTCCTCGGTCCAAAGTGATGTTTGTAGGCATTTAGATCCAAATTCTAACAAATTTTTCTCTAACATTTCAAAGTGTTCCATGGAACCCAGGATGCTAGATATAAATCACCTCATTTTTGAGTTAAAAAAAAAAAAATTATTTCTTGAAGGTTTCTTTTGAAAAAGCAGTGAAAGAAGAAATCACATATCAGCTACACTGTCTTTTCAAAGCTGTATCATATCTATTTTTATATTCTCTAATTATGAATTCAGGCATTCAAAGAATAAATAGAATTTTCCAGATATGAAATAATGCTGCTTAAGAAATGAGACAGTTATCCTAATTTAAGTCCACAGAAAATTTTAAAAGTAATTAAAATTTTTTCTTCTGGCCTTCAAACTGAGTGCTATTTGAAAAAGTTTCATAGTGGAAATGAAACTGCCACGAAAGAATGAGTCATCACCACTCCTCCAACTTTTCTGTTTATTTAAAGCTCTAAAAATAACTTAGCTTTTTCATATTCCAGATTAACATTTTAGGAGCATCAGTACACGATCTAATTCTATGAGAAGGTCTCTTAATTTTCAGGGCAGGCATAGAAAGGAAGAGTTTTCCCAGGAACACATGAACATGTGTAGTTTTCAGGTATAGAGAGGATTCAAAAAAACAATTAAGAACTAGCAAAGAGGGCTGGGGTTGTAGCTTAGCAGTAGACCGCTCCCCTAGCACATGTGAGGCGCTGGGTTCGATCCTCAGCACCACGTAAAAATAAATAAATGAAATAAAGGTACTAAAAAAAAAAAAAACAAGAACTAGCACAAAGCTGGGCACAGTGGTGCACACCTGTAATCCCAGTTTAGGAGGCTGAGGCGGGAGGATTGCAAGTTCAAACAACTTAGCGAGAGACCCTGTTACAAAACAGAAGATCAAAAGGGCTGGGGATATGGCTCAGTGGTTAAGCACTCCTGGGTTCAAAAAAAAAGAACTAGTATGTGGTAAGGCCCTGGCTTTCATCCCCAGTACTGGGGCGGAGGCAGGGGAAATAACTAGCAAGGGATATTTTTTAAATGAATTATAAGGGCTGGGATTGTAGCTCAGTGGTGGAGTGCTTATCTCGCCACTGGGTTCAATCCTCAGCACCACATAAATAAATAAAATAAAAAGTTTTTAAAAAATGAATTGTAAGAGCTGGGGTTGTAGCTCAGTGGAAGAGCGCTTGTCTAGTGTGAGGCATTGGGTTCAATTCTCAGCACCATGTACAAATAAATAAAATAAAGGTCCTTCAACAACTACAAAATATTTTTAAGAATGAATTATAAATAGAGATCACATGATTGATGGGCAAATCATTAGGAAGAGAAGTTTAAATTAATTTTCTTAAGTATATATAATCTCCAAGGGGACATTTTTAGCAAGGGGATGATATGTACACATAAAATAGAGTGAGCTATGCAAGGAGGTATTTTTGTGTTTTGTCCTTAAACCACATCATGGTTCTCTTTCTCTTTACAATGATCAGCTCTAGCTTCCCACCAGCATTGCCCCATTAAACTTGTTGTGGATGTTGGAGATTTTTTGTATGTATGGAAAATTACTGTTGATTCTCTTCACTTAGGTGTATATTTTTGCTTTCTTTCTCATAATGACTTCTTTATTTTCAAGGAGAACTGCCTGAACTCAGATGTAGTGGAGCAGATTTATAAGCGGAACCCCATCCTGCGATACACCCACCACCCCCTGCACTCCCCGCTCTTGCCCCTCCCCTATGGGGACATCAATCTCAACTGTAAGTCCAGAATCCCATCGGACCTCAGGGGCTGTGATTTTATTTTTTCCCTAATAACTCTGAGCTCTAACAACTTAGCATTGGTTTAACTCAAATACTTAGTCATCATGAATGGGGATCTCAGAGTTTTAGAGGTACAAGGGCTATAGTAAGATTTAAAGGGACTCAAGATGCCAGCACTCTGCATGAACTCTCAGTAAATTAAATCAACACCTTACAATGAAACAGGCCTGTGTTAGGTGATTTTGCTCAAATGTAGGCTGTGTACATGAATTTGGAGCACATTTTTAAGCAAGATAGTTTGTATCCAGATGCATTAAATGCATAATGATGAGGTTAAGTTACATGGGCTTATCAGAACGTAACCTCATCATTATGTTGAGGTGCATCAATACCAGATAAGCAGATCCTAAACGATTTTGCATTCTAAGCACAGAACCCATTGAGACATAGACTACTTTTTTTTTTAAAGTTGTCAATGGACTTTATTTTGTTTATTTATATGTGGTGCTGAGAATCAAGCCCAGTGCCTCACACATGATAGGCAAGCACTCTACCACTGAACCACAACCCCAGTCCCATAGGCTAAATAAGCATTTTATGTACTAAAAAGTATTATATAACAAAACAGTGTGCCTTACCCACCTGTGTTTTGCTGCTTTGTTCAACTGATTCTAAAGTGTGGGGCACAGGGTGGGCACTGTATCAGGAAGTGGCTGTCTCCATTCATTCCTTCCTCTTGTCTGCGTCATACCCCTTTGAGACATCCGTTTTGTTGCTTTTCCTAGTGCTCAAAGACAAAGGCTACACAACCCTTCAGGATGAAGCCATCAAGATATTCAATTCCCTCCAACAACTGGAATCCATGTCCGACCCTATCCCAATAATCCAGGGCATCCTGCAGACAGGGCATGACCTCCGGCCTCTGCGGGATGAGCTGTACTGCCAGCTCATCAAGCAGACCAACAAAGTGCCCCATCCTGGCAGCGTGGGCAACCTGTACAGCTGGCAGATCCTGACTTGCCTCAGCTGCACCTTCCTGCCCAGCCGAGGGATTCTCAAGTATCTCAAGTTCCATCTGAAAAGGTAATGCCCAGGGGCTGCGAGGTGAGCAGGAACTGTTTCACGAGTGGGGAGAGGGGCAGTCCCAGTTCTGACAAAGAGCACCCTGTAGGCAGGCACCCTTTGGTCTGCTTCAGCAAGCTCATAGGATGCAGGTGTCCTTTCTTCAGGTCATGCAAGGCCATGACAGGGACCAGGTCACTTTGATGTAGCGTCCTCATGTGTAGGATATTGGGTACATTTAATTACAGAAACAGAAAAACCAACTTGGATATTTATTTCAGGCCAATCAAGTAGAAAACAATCTGATTTAAGTTTTTTAAAAATATTTAAGAATTTTATTTTGTATTTATATTTTATTTATATATTTATATTTAAATTTTATTGTGTCTGAGATTTATAAATAGTTTAATTTAATTGGATACATTCAACAGTAAAATGGCGGGCTGGAATTGTAACTCAGCAGTAGAGCGCTTACCTTGTATGCGTGAGGCACTGCATTCAATTTCCAGCACCACATGTAAATAAGCAAATAAAATAAAGGACCATCAACAACTAAAAAAAATCTAAAAAAAAAAATACAGAAATATGGTTATTATTTAGCAGATAAACCCATCTGTTACCTTATGTAGTTCAATCTACTGATTTTGGTTAACTGTGGGGAAACAACTTTCATAAGACATTAAGAAGCATGAGACAGCCCTGGTGGCGCACGCCTGTAATCCCAGCAACTTTAGGAGGCTGAGGCAGGAGAATCACAAGTTCAAAGCCAGCTCCTGCAATTTAGCAGGACCATGTCTTGGGGATGTGGCTCAGTGGTTAAGTGCCCTTGAGTTCAATCCCTGGTACTAAAAAAAAAGGTGGAGGCGTGGCGGGGAGCAGCAGCAGCATGAGACTTAGTTGAAGTGTTAATGGCACTGGCAAGGTGCTTGGCAGTGGGAGTGCCCCCCCCAACACACACACACACACACACACCAGCTCTTTATTTTTTCTGTAATTAGGCTGAAATCTGCACAGAATGAACTGGGCACTCAACAGGAAGGTACTGTTGCCTTCACCATCTTGGGCTCCAGGACCTTCCCACAGCCCAGATCCCAAGACCAACCAGTCTCCATCTACAGTTAATAGTTCATATATTTGTCTCCTAGGGTACGGGAACAGTTTCCAGGAACCGAGATGGAAAAATACGCCCTCTTCATCTACGAATCACTTAAGAAAACCAAATGCCGAGAGTTTGTGCCTTCCCGGGATGAAATCGAAGCTCTGATCCACAGGCAGGAAATGACGTCCACAGTGTACTGCCATGGCGGCGGCTCCTGCAAGATCACCATCACCTCCCACACCACAGCTGGGGAGGTGAGGCATAGGGCATGCCCTCATCCCACTTGGTGCACAGCTGCCCACACGCCCAAGTCAGTGAGGTCGTGCACGATTAGACTGGCTGTCTCGTACAGTACCCAGCTGCTCGGTAAACAGGGAAGCAAGCGCAACCTGCAACCAATTGCATGTACCTAGAGGTTCAAATAGTTCCTAAAGATGAGTGGAAACAAAAAGTTGTACTCGTGCCTGCTAATCTGAGAAGCAGCTGAGAATCTAGTAGAGGCAGCAGAGTTGATTCAGGTACATTGCTGTGTTCCTGAAGGATGTAGGGTGTTATTTCTGCAACAGAGTGTTTCTTTTCTTTTAAATATTTTTTTAGTTGTAGATTGACACTTTATCTTTATCTTGTTTTTCTATTTTTATTTTTTCCTGGTGCTGAGCATTGAACCCAATGCCTCACATGTGCAAGGCAAGCGCTCAACCACTGAGCCACAACCCCAGCCCCAGGGTGTTTCTTTTTGCCACGTGAATATTGAGAATGTTGGGTCAGATGAACTTTTTTTTTCTTGGAGTACTGGGGGTTGAACCCAAGGCATGCTGGGCCTACTGTTGAGCTACCTCCACAGCCCACCCCCACTTTTCTTAATTTAATTTTAAGATAAGATCTCACTAATTTGCCCAGAATTACCTTGAACTTGAGGTCCTCCTGAGAAGCTGGGATTACAGCTGTGCACCCAACTCATTTTCTTTATTCAATTTAATCTTAGCATTATGAAACCCATTGGCTAAAAGAATTAGTACAGTAAAACCTCAGAAGGCTTCTTGTGTGGAAGAAGTATCATTGAAGTCACTTGTTTTTTGGAGTTTATGAATTTATTAGCTAAAAGACAGTACTTCAGTGTTTTATTACTTTCCCTATTAGTATGGGTTTGCAAGAAATGTGTCCATTGATTGGTAAAGTACCCTATGTTCTTCCTTGGCAAGAATGAGATAAAGCTAACTTTTAAGAGAAGGGAAAGCCAGGCGCCGTGGCACATGCCTGTAATCCCAGCAACTAGGGAGGCTGAGGCAAGAGGATCACAGGTTTAAGACCAGCCTCAGCAACTCAGCAAGGACCTAAGCAAAGCAACTTAGCAAGACCCTGTCTCAAACTTTTATAAAGGGCAGGGGATGTGGCTTAGTGGTAAAAGCGTCTGTCGATTCAGTCCACTGCACCAAAACCAAAAACAAGAGAACAAGGGGAAAATGTCACCTTTGAGATTCTGGGTGATCATACACATGACAGTTTCAGGAGGCTACTTGGACCCTCACTTGTGCCAGCAGCTCCCTCTGGGTCCACATGAAGGCACGTTCTAGAATTATGTGTTGGGACCATAGCCTCCAGAGCTGAGGAATTCCCATGTGTCTTCCAGGTGGTAGAGAAACTGATCCGGGGCCTCGCCATGGAGGATAGCAGGAACATGTTCGCCTTGTTTGAGTACAATGGACACCTGGACAAAGCCATCGAAAGCCGAACCATTGTAGCTGATGTTCTAGCAAAGTTTGAAAAGTAAGTCCTTCATAAAGTGCTGAAAGGGCAAGTAAAAAATGTCAGAGCAAGGGCTGAGGGTTTGGACTTCCATTCCGTGTTTGGTTCACTGTATGTTCAAGTTAGTTGGTTTTACCTGGGTTGAGCATGTTTATCTTTTCAGCTTTGCCAGCTGTGTTTCTTGATTACTAGAGGAAGCCACAGTCTCAAATATGATTTAACTTGAAACTGGTTCTTCACCCCATTCTCTTTCTCAGTCACTTGTTGTATTCATTGTCTTCGAATTTCTTGATTCTTAAGTTTTCACTTGTCATAAGCTTTGAATTAGGCCATCAGCCAACTTAGAAGCTCTTCAAACCACTTTTGATGTTTCCATTATGAAATGCACCTGCAGTATCACACTTGGAGTTTCACACTTTCATTTTTGATTTCGTGCCCCCTAGGTGGTGGCACAAAAGTTATTCCTCAGCATAAATGCAGTCTGCATACAAGAATATTCAATATTTATGAATCATTTCAGGATTGGTAAAGGAAATGAAGAAATGACCTTTCTTTCTTTCCATTCTGTGGATTCAATATAAGGCCTAACTGGTACTAATCAATCTGGGTTCCTCAAAAAGTACTAGTTGGCATAGTTTTAACTGAAGGCTTCATGTTTGTTTTTGTAGAGTGAGACTTCTGGTTAGATAAAACTGCCGGGAACTATGATTAGCCCCCTCTTTTTCTCCCCCGGCCCATCCCCATCCCCAAGTCCAGCCTCACTGTCATCTGAGCATGGTCAGTGCCTCCTCCTGCCATGTAAGTCAGCTCCCTGCAGGCCACCCAAGGGCCATCTCTCATTTTGCTTTCTGAGTCTTGTGACTTCTCTCTCTAGGCTGGCCGCCACATCAGAATCAGGGGACTTGCCTTGGAAATTCTACTTCAAACTTTACTGCTTCCTGGACACGGACAACGTGCCAAAAGACAGTGTGGAATTTGCGTTTATGTTTGAACAGGTAAAGAGAATTCTTAAAAATAGATCCTTGCTGGCACACAGCAGAGAATCCCATGATGGCACCTTATAAATCCACCTCTGGTCCTTAGAAATGGTGCGTGGTGCTAGATTCCCAGCAGGGACAAGGCCAGCGGCTCTAGCATTCATTTGTAGAATGGAACTTCTACAAAGTTTATGTCAGCTTCCCTGCCAGAAACTCTTCTCATTTGAGGAACACAGATCACGAGGAATAGAAGCTGTGGAACGAGTTCAGTGGTATCTGCACCAGGGAGTAATTTTGGGTTGAAAATGGTAAGGGGCTCAGGGTATGATTTTCTTCAGGCAGTCAAGGAAGGTGACATTCAAGAGCAGTCATGAGGGGGGCATGGGCATCCTGTAACAGTGCCGCTCTGACCACAGGGCTGTCGCCTCCTCCTTTCAGGCCCACGAAGCAGTTATCCACGGCCACCATCCAGCTCCTGAAGAAAACCTCCAGGTTCTCGCTGCCTTGCGGCTCCAGTACCTGCAGGGGGATTACACTCTGCATGCCACAGTCCCACCTCTCGAAGAGGTTTATTCCCTGCAGAGACTCAAAACCCGCATCAGCCAGTCCACCAAGAGCTTCACCCCCTGCGAGCGGCTGGAGAAGAGGAGGACAAGCTTCCTGGAGGGGACACTGAGGCGGAGCTTCCGGACGGGGTCTGTTGTTCGGCAGAAGGTTGAGGAGGAGCAGATGTTGGACATGTGGATTAAGGAGGAAGTCAGCTCTGCTCGAGCCAGCATCATTGACAAGTGGAAGAAATTTCAGGGGATGAATCAGGAGCAGGCCATGGCCAAGTACATGGCCTTGATCAAGGAGTGGCCTGGCTACGGGTCCACGCTCTTCGACGTGGAGGTGAGAGCTGGCTGCTGTGCGGGTGGGCAGGTTCATGTGGCGGGAAGACAAGTTGGAACACTGTGCTCTCTCACCCTCTTTTATGAAAGCCTCCCGAACTTTACCATTAACACCTCCTACCTCCCCAGAGCTTTTTTTCTTCCTTTGCAGTAAATGTTCCTATAATATTTTAGGAAGGAATACAAAATTAAGATGTTATCTGTTCTTTTTTTTTTATTTTAATTTTTTAGTTGTATATGGACACCTACTTTTATTTCATTTACTTAATTTTATGTGGTGTTGAGGATCAATCCCAGTGCCTCACACGTGCGAGGCAAGTGCTCTGCCACTGAGCCACAACCCCAGCCCCTTCATCTGTTCTTAAATAATTGCTACTTTTTCCTATGGAAGCTACAGAACTGATTTTTTTAGATGCTGATAGAAACCTGCATTTAAGTTGTTCAAAATTTTTAGCCACCAGCTGAGGTTTAATGAATTTCTGATTCATTTCCCGTTTTTTTTTCTTCTTCTTCTTTTAATCTTTTTAAAGTAGACCATTATTTCAAAGGAATTCCTACTGATGGTCAAAAGAAGGTTTTGACCATCAACTTTTCATTTCTCTGATTGTACACGATGTAGAGTCGCACCACATTGTGCAGTCATACATGTACCTAGGGTAACGATGTTCATCTCATTCCACCATCTTTCCAACCCCCATACCCACTCCTATTCCCTGCCTCCCCTTGGCCCAATCAAAGTTCTTCACCAACCCCCCCACCCACCCAAAACACACATACCCATGGATCAGCATCCACTTATCAGAGAACATTCAGCCTTTTGTTTTTGGGGATTGGCTTACTTCGCTTAGCATGATATTCTCTAACTCCATCCATTTACTTGCAAATGCCATGATTTTATTCTCTTTTATTTCTGAGTAATATTTCATTGTGTATATATACCACAGTTTCTTTATCCATTCATCTATTGAAGGGCATCTAAGTTGGTTCCACAGTCTAGCTATTGTGAATTAGAGAGCACATGACTTTGAAAGCCCAAATATTTCCTCTCTGATCTGGCTTAGCTTCCAGTTTCTTATAGTCACAGTAATTCAGTATGTTATCTGATGACTTTAAATTGAGGCTCTATAAAAATCTAAATGTTAATTTTAGTTTCTAAGATCCTTTAATTGCTTCTCATTGGATGCTGTTTGGGGTTTGGTCCATGGTTGGTTCAGTTATGTTTGTCCCAAAGTATAAATCAGATGCTTTGTACCGTGTTCCTCCTCTTTTCATCATCCTCAATTTATACGTCTCCTGTTTGCACTGGTTCAGCTCAGCCTACATTGCTGTTCTCTCCACTTAGGCTCCTTTTCTTCCACTGATGTATATAAGAAATCTTAGTTAGACAGTGAACTGCCTGTTTACACTAAAAGGCAAAAAGTTGGTGCTGCTCCTGTAAAGAAGAGCCAAAATTGCCTGGCACACAGGGACTTGGAGAATGTTCCTCTGTGGCCATCCCAGAAAGGATTAGAGAAAGAACTAGAGACAGCAGCAGACCTGGCTCAGGCCACTTGGTGGCTGGAGATCTTGGTCAAATCCCTGGCCAATGGCATTATCAGCCCTCTTCCATGTGGCTGATTCAGGTGGCTAAATAGTAGAATGCTTCCAAGAGGTGAAGAGTCCATACAGCACCTTAGACTGATGAGGTTCCCAGTTCGTAAGATTGATCATCTAGTCAGAAGTCAATCAGGGTAGCCAGAGAGCTGCCGTGAATACAGTGAATGCAGTCAGAGTTCTGTGCTGAGCTCTTGTCTCACTCTGTCTGGTGGCTTCTAGACTGTGTTTCTCCTGCCTTGCCATTAAACCTTCATCCCAACTCTTTTGGCCACCAGTGCAAGGAAGGCGGCTTCCCCCAGGAGCTCTGGCTGGGCGTCAGCGCGGATGCCGTCTCTGTCTACAAGCGTGGGGAGGGAAGACCATTAGAAGTCTTCCAGTATGAACACATCCTCTCTTTCGGGGCACCCCTGGCAAACACGTACAAGATCGTGGTGGACGAGCGGGAACTGCTCTTCGAAACCAGTGAGGTAAGAGGCAGAACAGGCACGTGTTCACTGGTGACCTTGAGGAAAGAGCAAGGTGGCACCCCATTTCCTGACACCTTTGACCATTTGGATATTTCTCTCCTTGTTTTTATATGAAAGTGCAGTATTGTGGCCCCTCCCCCCAAATTAAGCCCAAATTTCTTCTGCATACCTTTAAAATAGAGAAATTTGGTTCTCTATTTTAGGAAAGGAAGAGAAAGGGAAATGATAAAGATGTCCATGAAAAAGCATAATATTTAAAGTGAAAATTAGACAATTGTGACAAAGCATTGCAGCAGTGAGACTTGATTCTGATTGCGGTCACAGAGCAGGAGGGAGCCGAGGGGCATGACCATCTGTGTAGCTAATTCTAGATCTCAAAGTCATACACAAAATAGCCTCTAAGTATGTCAACTCCAAACTTTAACAAATATAGCAAGAATACTAGTCTACTGAGGCCTGCACAAAGGGAGTGGCTGGCGGCAAAGAGGTAGACGGAAATGCTGCCCATGGTATGATAACGAGGAGGGTGCTTGAGGTGCTGGAAGGCAGGGAGGCGGGGGGTGCCATGCAGCAGGCACCCTAGGCAGACAGAAATGCACAATGAGAGGAAAGGGCTGGGGATTCCCCAACCAGAGGGCCCCAAACGCAGGGCTGTAGGATTTGGGTGAATCCAGTAGACAATAGAAAGTCACTGTGGGATCTTCATGCATGACACTTCCACAGTGATTTTGCTCACAGTGATCTGGAGTGGGATTGGAAGGGCAGAGGGATCAGGGAGATGAAGCCTGTTAGGATGGGGTCACAGGACATAGCCAGCAGTGAGGAGGGCTGGCCAAAGAGGGTAGCAGTGATGGTGGCACCCTTGGAAGGAGCTATGGGAGCTCCCAGTTTTATGAGGTGGCTGGTAGGGAACAGAAGCAGGCCAGGTGTCGGGACAGCTTCCCAGAGCCCTCTGCTGGCCTCCAAGACCAAGGTGCTGCTTCTTCAGCTGCCTCCCAAGGGGTAGACCAAAATTGGTTGATTCAAACTTCAGGACTGATTGTGAACTTCACAGTTCTCATTTGTTTTCAGTAAGGGAAGTAATTCTAACCCTGATGATACCCAGACTAGTGTCTGCAAGCTCTCATAACTTACCTAAAGCAAAACTGTTGTTTTGCATGCATGAACCACCAGGTGGCGCACATTGTATTTGGAAAAGCCGCATTCCCTGACTAGGAATAGGTAAAGGCAGCTCAACTGAAGACAGGAGCCCTGAATTAGTATGGAAAGCTGCTGCCTTATGCTTGGAGAATAAATAGAGGATGTCTGGTGTTCAGGCTGGGCCTTTTGACCTGGTGGAAACTGGTGACCAAGTGTGGGTTCTGCTCCCCTGGGCAGGTGGTGGACGTGGCCAAGCTCATGAAAGCCTACATCAGCATGATCGTGAAGAAGCGCTACAGCACCACGCGCTCCATGAGCAGCGAGGGCAGCTCCAGGTGAAGACAGAAGAGCCCACACAGCCAATATCTGAACATGCCACCCTCTGGCTTAGGCCAGCTCCAGGGTACCGAGTCTGGCCAATGGCCAACCTGCCCAGGCTTTCTGGAAGCCCCTCGCTGGGGGGAGGATTCTCCAGGGGTCCTTTTCGCCCTGTCAGCTTCAATGATCATGTATTAAGCTGTCAACCTTAACAGTCTGCACAATTTCCAAAGCTTTACTACTCTTAGATGACACATGCCTTAAAAAAAGAAAGGGGAGAAAAACCACGCTGCCACCAAAGCAGCCAGAAGTGCCTTAATTGGGATCCAACCCGTGGACCTTAACTGTGCTACTGAGGGGAGGTGCTCCCCGCGGGGAAACCTGCGGAGTGGAGGGGGTTGTCTGTCGTGATTATGCACTAACCTCCCAGCCTGATTTCCCTGCGGTGAGGGAAGGTGAGGGAGTGGGGAGGTGAGGGCGGAGGGGTGGTATATTTTAGTTGGAGCGCTGCTGGCAGCCTTCCTCGTGGACATGTATTAACTTTTTTGCTTTGTTTCATCTTCTGAGTGTCTGTGCTTGCCCGTGCATGCCTGTGTTCATAAACTCAACACTTTTAATCATTGTTTCATGAACATTAAACACAAAGGGAAGAGGATGTGCAATGGTGTAAACAGTCTGTATATTTTAATAGTTCAGAGTTCTAGTCTTCAGTTGTTACTTTATTAAGGTGGTTTTATTAACAAACCGGAATCCTGGATTTTCCTGTCTTTGCTGTATTTTGAAAAAACATGTTTTGACTCAGTTTTGTTTTACATGTAGCAAAGTCTGCACTCTGTGTCTGCTGTATTACAAACAGATCTGCAGCCCACAAGATAACTGTATTTATGAACCACTCTTAAAACTGCCGACTCCAGTACTGTCTTTAGAGCAATATGAAGTCATTTTATTTGGAGTCTTTGTATTTCTAAAAGAGTTAAGTTAAAAAACATTTTTCTTTGGAGGTAAGCCTGTACCACTCTGGATAGATTACAGACATAATGGCATTGAATATGGGGAAGCTACCGCATTGCTGCAAGGGGTAACACAGGGGCGAACCTCTGAAGCACACCCGTATTAAACGCTGAGGCTTTGGTAAAATGAGACCATTTTATCCCAAGTTTATGTTGGTGATCAGAACTGGCCCCTCTAAATAAGTCAGCATTTTTGACCAGAAGAAAAATATTCTGGACTTGGACCTTTATTTTTATATGGAAAAGTTATAAAGACTTGGGACAATGAAGTCTACCCATTAAAAAAAAAATTGCCTTATCCCTTATGAACAACTATGTGAAATTGTTTGTTGGCTCACAGAAAGTCTGACAATAAAGGATATTAGCTAACATGCTGTGTGTTTCCTTTATCAAGGTGACTCTAAATAACTGTGAGGGGCTCATTTTTCTTTTGATTTTTGGTTGTATTGCTTTTTGCTCTGTGTTTCCTGTATATTCATCCCTCGTATCTGCAGGGACTGGTTCTAGGACCTGCAGGAGTGAAAATCTGCAGATGCTCGGCTTCCTTATATAAAATGACACAGTATTGCACATAATCCTCACACATCCATTCGTATACGGTAAATCATCTCTAGATTACGTAAAAAATAACATGCTATGTAGGTGTGCTGTACTGGGGAATACTGACTAAAGTCTGTGTGCTTGATACAGTTTTTTTGTTTGTTTGTTTGTTTTGGTACCAGAGATTGAACTCAGGGGCACTTGATCACTGAGCCACATTTCCCAGCCCTATTTTGTATTTTATTTGTAAGAGACAGGGTCTCACTGATCTGTGATTAGTTGGACCCATGGAAAAAGAATCTGTGGACTCTTTGCTCCCAGGCTCAAAATCAGGCAGATTAATGGCCATCTTGATCATTCTCTCAGAAGGTGAAAGGATTGGTAAGTGACATTAGACACATCTAGTTTTTGAAATATGTTTTGTCAGTCTCCTTTGCCTGTCTCCAAAATATGCCTGACCTTGAAATCTATGATCCAGACCCGCCTGCAATTCACTGTGCTGCAGAGCACACAAGCCATTTGGCCATGCCCTGGGAAGTCACCTGAAGCCAGGTGCTACTGAGAACCTGTGGCCTCAAGGGGTGGCAATTGAAGAGGCCTGCTGCCAGAGGGCTGGATCCCCTCTGGAACCACTACCTGAAGGGCACCCCCACCCTCCAGTTACATGAGCAAATGGCAGGGAAGGAAAGGGAAAGAATAGCATCTCCACTGAGTGCCGGTAGCTTTGTGTGCTTTAATGTTTTATTTGGAAGTATTTGGAGATTCAGAGGGTGCTGCAACGCAGCATACAGGAATGAGAGGTCCACACCACCGGTTCCCCCAGTCATAACAGCCTGCAATGCTGCAGAACTGTCCCGCACCCTGGAGAGGAGCCCGCAGCTTCCTCAACCCATGGTCCATTCTGAGTCCCCGGTTCTGCACATGCTTGTTGGTATGTTTGATGTCCATGGCTTTGAATGACCTGAGTGGGGGAACTGTGCCTTTTTATTATTGAGGTCAGCATCAGAGTGAAGGACAGCGTCATTCAGATTTAAGCTCAACTATATTTTCACATATTCTTATTTTTAATTCTTTGGAAGAGAATACACAGGTGATTTTTTTAAGTATTTTTTTTAAAGAGAGAGAATTTTTAAATATTTATTTTTTAGTTTTTTGGCGGACACAACATCTTTGTTTGTATGTGGTGCTGAGGATCGAACCCGGGCTGCACGCATGCCAGGCGAGCACACTACCACTTGAGCCACATCCCCAGCCCTGTTTTTTTTTTTTTTTTTTTTTTTTTGTTTTTAAATACTAAAGGTAAAAAGTGACTTTTCCTCCCAGCATAGAATTACCCAGTTTTCCATCTGTAGAGCCAAGGTTGTTTTGTTTTATTTTTGCCATTTTCTTAAATATTCTTCCAGAAATACTTTAAACTGTCCCAAGCATGTACCCACATATATATCCTCTGCCCCTGTTATTTATTTTTAAAGAAAATATAAAAGCCTAAACCCTTTTGTACCTTGTTTTTCCCCCAGAACACTGTTTTAATTGCCATTCTTCATTAATACTTAGAGATGTTCTTATTCTTTTCAACCAGTGTAGAGTACAGCAAACAGCTTTGTGGGAAAAAAGAAATGGCCACCTAATTTATTTCTAAAAATAGTTCAGAAATCTAACAGGGCAGTTTTTTCAGTTATGAGACTTGATTCAAACAACAATCGGTCGACATAAAAATATGTCATAATAAAGTTCTACATTATCTAGGTCATATGCTGGGGACCTTCAATAAATTCTAGAAGTATTTTACAAATATAAAAGCAAGTGCTAATGAATACAAAGATTCCAATGCACCAGAAGTGTTTGAGAAAAAACTGAATATACATAAAGCGAATCCTTGGTGGGTGGGGGGGGGGGGGGGGTTGAACCCAGGGGGGTTAAAATTGAGTCACATCCCCAGCCCTTTTTATTTATTTTTTATTTGGAGATAGTGTCTCTCTAAGTCGCTTAGGGCCTTGCTCAGTTGCTGAGATGGGATTTGAATTCATGATCCTCCTGGCTCAGCCTCCAGAGCTAAATTTAACCAATATATTTACAGCTATTTCATGCAGTTGATCAGAAAAGCATTATGATACACATGTGAGAAAATATGGGGCTTGGATTCTAGGTTTGGCACTTCTATTTTCAAAGTATGCAATCTTTTAGACCAGGTTTCAGCAAACTGAAGCCCAGAAGCCAAATCTAGCCCGCCACATGTTTTTTTAAGTGGTTTTATTAGAACAGATCTGCACCAGCAAAGTTAAGTAGCTTTACTTAAGGCTGAAAATATTTGCTCTCTCATACTTTTATTTAAAGAATTTGCTGCCAGGCACAATGGCACACACCTAATCCCAGTGACTGAAGGCTTAAGCAAGAGGATGGCAAGTTCAAGGCCAGCCTCTGCAACTTAGTGACTCCCTGCCTCAAATCAAAAAATAAAATGTTCTGGGAATGTAGTTCAGTGGTAAAGTGCCCGCCCGTAGGTTCAATCCCCAGTAAAACAAGAAAGAAAGGATTTACTGACTTTCCTCTTTTAGGTAATTACAGAAATATATTTCCTTTATAACTTCAGCTGTGGTTAGAATTTCTATTCTGTGTTATGTGAGGGGTATAGTCCCCATTTTTGAGGTGGGTTTTTGTTTGGTTGGTTGGTTGGTTGGTTGGGGGTTTTTTGTTTGTTTTTTGTTTATTGGGTTTTTTGGTGCTGGGGATCAAACCCAGGGCCTTGGTACATGCGAGGCAAGCATTCTACCAACTGAGCTGTATCCCCAGCCTGAGATTTTTGGTTTGTTTTTTGTTCATTATTTTGAGTGAATCTCCTCCTCTCCCTGCATTTCCCCATCAGTACAAACTAGCTCAGCATCACCTCTCATTTCTCTTGATCTGTCAGTAAATTGATTAAAGGACATAAAGTTTCTCCAGGACAAAGACATCCTTCCACCTGACCCAGGACATCCAGCATTCTGCCTGCCTCAAATGCTTTAGGGGCTCAACTTAGCCATAAGTAGTGAACAGATTACAGCCCCACCTTTCAACAAATTTATTATGAAAATGAGATAAATACACATGAACATGCTAAATAACTGCATAGATAGCCTGAGTCAGGTGAGTATCAATAAGGTAGCATTGCAGATGCCTAAAGCAGGCAGATGGATGTGTGGGAAAGGGTGGTGGGCTCTGAGCCGGGTCTGCAATATGGCAGGTCTTGGTTGGTGGAGAGGAAGAAATTCCTGCTGGAGGGCCCTGAAGAACCAAGCTCAGGTGTGGAGTAGAGATGGGCTTGGGGCAGGTATCAGTACAAAGTCAGAGCATGCTTTCATTTCATCCCCATTGTGTCCGTCCCTAGCTTATAGTCTTTTGCTAGCCAGCAGTGACAAAGGGAACAGTACTGGTGACACCCAGTACCTGCATTCCACAAGACCAGAGCTGGAATTCCTAAGCATTTGGAATTCTGGCAGTGACGTGCTGGTAAATTAATAAAGGCCTGCTTCGGAGTGTTTGTTGGTTTTCTAGGTGTAAATATTCTCACCGTGGCTGCTTCCAGACTCCAAGGTGGCATCACTGAATGCAGAGTCAGAATGAGATGCACACAGTCAAGTTTCCCAGCTGCTAGGAGCCAGGGCTTACACAAAATATAGAATCTTGTCCCTATCTTTATTCTTCCCAGGGACTTCTCTTTTCCATTTCAAGTTCTAACAGGATTGCATTGATAAGCAGTTTGAGACTTGAACAGGTCTACTCCTCAGGCACTCATACATTTGCTTGGTGGCAAACAGTTGGTAGATTATAGTTCTTGTCATTTCCCCCGTGATAGGCCAGAAAAGAAAACAAATAATTCCTATAAATCTGATCTCTTGGGA